AGAACTAATTCTACATTTAAACTCTGTACAATTATCATTCATACATATTCTAGCCTTGATAAAGGTACCCAACAAGAGGCGAAACGTTGGTGTCGGTTCTATAATCAATTAAGACATTATCCCCCTCTATTGCCTTGAATCATATTCATAAAACATAACGATTTAATAATTTTAAATAGTTTTTAAAAAGAAATTAAACAAACACCTACATACATACATATATGTAGAGGCGTTTAGAAATATTGATTTTTATATTTTTACTGATGTGATATTTACAGTACCATGCAATCTCAGAACAGGATGATAAATGTCAAGTTTATAATTAAACTGTCAAAGTGATCAATAACAACCAAAATTAATTTCTTTTTCTTTTAGATTAAATGTAAGTGTATAATATATATTTAGCATTTAAGTACCTTCATCACTTAATTATTTTCGTCATATCTTGTTATAATTTATAAAAAAAGTTAATTGCAACGGTTTTTGTACGTACAGATTTGAAGATAATTTTATAAATTATTTTCAATTATAGGTATATACATAGGTATCTTTAACAGGAATCAACTTCACTTGATTTCAGTTTTCCAACGAATTATTAAAAGATACGTAGAAAATAAATTAGACAAAAGCTTTTGATAAATGAAAAAGCAAGTGAAAATGTTCACCATATACAACCTTTTGATGATTGTATAAGTAATAAAATATTCCTATATTCGGTTCTCAACTCGCCACATTCACTAACGATAAGTGCACAATGTCAATTTTAAATTTTATTTTCATTCACAGTACAAAAGTAACTAATAAAACTTCCTTTGGCACTTCAATTGCTGAATGCAGTTTCAAGTTTCACGAAATTTAAGTTTCTTGAAGATTTTTCAAATTACTCGGCAGCAATCACAAATCACGAAAGTACATAACACCTTTACAAGAAGGAACAAATATAACTAACATGTAATATTCCGCAAAATTGAGATTAAATTTGACTAACTGAAAGTGCAAACATGATGCGTCCGCCGCACTTTCATCATGTGCTTACTTATCGCATATAAAATAATGGTTTTACTTCGTTATCACAATTTAAAATAAATTAAAGTATAAACAGAATTGATTCGTCCGAGGATGAGCACCAAAATAATACTAATACTACAAACTTATGTGTGTATTTTAAATAAAAACAGTACTCCTTCGAATTAATATAAGGAGATAAACTGCTGCAAGTAACATTATATTATATGTATTTATGTATTTTAATCGGTTTTTGGAGATAACAGCTGTAATCTATTCAATTCATTAATTATTGCACTTTTTAATGGGCTGCTGCGAAGATAAACTATAGATCGCAAAATATCTATGGATTTCCAGTACGTTTACATGAAATAAAAATTTAAAGTTTAAGTACCAGGTTATAAATACACTGCTTTTATTAGATAAAAATAAAACTTATTGAAAAATACACCTGTGATTATAAAAGTATTTTCTGTAAATACATATTATCGTTCTATTTAAAATTTTCCTTAATTGTTTCGTTTCGCTTTTCAATTGGTACTTCATACATCAATGTTACATTTCTTTACAATTGTGTTATTTTTAAAATATATGTTATATCTATCTATTTCATAAAGATCAAGTTAACTTTTCAGCTACAGTTTTTCTATTTCGAAAACCGCTGAACATAATACAAACTGGATGATCTATACAGGCCCGAAGGGGGGGAAAGGGCAGCGAACGACGCCAATTTTAACGAAAGAAAAGGTGGACAAAATGACTAAATAATTGATTCTAAATACCTATCTCCTTCAGAAAACAATTTTAATAATTTAATATTTAAATGAAAGGGAATTTATTTTATTTTAACGTACCTTCAACTTAATCTTACGAAATTATCAAACATTATGTAAGCATATAAAACCGGAAATTGTGGATTAATGACAACTGATATAAACAATGCACGAACGAAAAGTCCAAAATGTAACATAAATTCAGAAATAAAATAATATAAATAGTATGTTGTACTTATCTATAAATATTGAGACCTGTTTAAATAAATAGTAATAGTTTCTATAAAATACAATGCAGTAAGTAAACAATAAAGTATAATTGTGTGATAATTAAGACATTTCTGCCATTACCAAAAATATTAAACCCAGCCTAATAGCTTAAGGTGAANGTGGATCTAAACATCGCCACACTAGAAAATACGTTTGTCACATAGTGACGACATGCGCGAAACGGTTTCATTTTTAGCACACGGAAGAGCGAATTTTATAAAAGAAGTTGTAGTATTATGGACCAGGGTTAACGGACTCGGAATCGAAGCGAATGCTAAACAATAATCTAAACCCCTAGGCCACTCCGCTCGGTATTCTTCTTTACAAAAGTATAAATTTAAATACTTAATAATATAGTTTGTAGAGAGGGATAGCTGTTACCCATCCTAACCTAATGTAATGAACGATAATTACGAAATAATTTCTTTTTTTAATTTTCATAACCCTTGTACAATTAGACGGTTGAAAAACAATAATAAGGCTCGACTACCCCGAATTTCTTGACAGTCTTAACTAGCCGCAGTGAAACTACCTACTTCAAAACTTGGTCAGTTGGATTTAGCAATGTCGAATCAAAATACATCTCAGACCGATAATGTATATAAATAAATAATCCAGAAAACTTGAAATTTTTTTTTTGAAATGTGGTCTGAGATAGGTATAATTCATTTCCACGCGGACAGTAGCTAACATTAGTAGTTTAATTTAATAATTATTACTAAATTATTAATTAACACGTATGTAAGGTGCGTCGCAGATTCAATTTGACAGGTAGATATTTTTATAAAGCCCTTATCAAACATTTTCAAATACTGCAGTTAGTAGCTGTAGATGACGATATACTGCTTATACTTAGATATTATGGCGTGCTGATGAGAACTATTTAGAACGTTTTAAATAACTGACCATGAACTTAATCTTGCTTATTTTTTTTTAAATTTATTTACTACTGTATTTTTTCATAATAAATGAAACTACTTACGGGCGCTAAATTTACAAAAAGACGAAAACAACGAAAGTGCACAAAGAAAAACACACACAGTACACTGGACAGTTGTCACAACGATGAAGACTATTAGAAGTTTTCATAAAAGACAATTTACTTATATTCATTTTAATGAGATTTTATCAAAGAATATTTGATAACGAGTATCTTCGATTATTTTCTCGAACGCGAATGGTGGACTCCTCTCAACAAGAAAATTGTGAAAAACTTGCGTGGTATCTTATCGATCCTTCATTTTCCGTTTTTAAAGTACCTAAACTGATATTATCAAGATAAGAATGAAATGGCAGAAATGAAATTTTCAAAATTTTACTACAAGATTTGCACCGGGAACAACCTTTCTTGTCCTATTAAGGTGAACGATGCAGAGGAGTTTCTACAAAACTGGACAATACTGGGAAATGTCAGGTGTAGGATTCGATTAATCTTATAATCGAAATTGTTTGGTATATTAGTGGTCACATAAGGTTATGATGAAGCATTGAGTTTTTTTGTCAAATTTAAAAAATCTGGGACAAAGACTTTTACATGGACCTACGACCCATGCCGAAAATAACAGTTTTTGACATAAAATGATGAAATGGTTAAATGAACTACACATGTACACAAGTTCAACAAACAACAATAATGTTAAGACAAGTGTTGAATTTAGATCCGTTTTATAGTAATCGTTATACTAACTGCTGAAGAAAAGATGCATTAGTTTGTGACCGAAGATTTGAAGATAATTTGTTCCCTAAATCGGTCTCAGAAGTTTTATCAAAAGAAATAAAGGACATGACAGCATATCGTGCCTACTGTCTAACTGTTTTTATCTGAAAAGGAACTTAAAATGACACCAATCTGAGAAATGGCTTCTGACAAAGATATAATTATACCTAAGGATGCTGTTTTGAAGAATCTTGTTTCCTTCTTAGTATCATACATTACATCATTACACATTATAAAAGGTATCTAATTTAATTCATATTTAGCTGTGTTACGTCATCATCATAAGGTCGTCAGTCCTAAGACTGGTTGAACACGCGCCGCCACTGTTTCCTATCCTGAGCTAATCTTTGCATTTTTCACTAAAATTAGAACATCCCACATACTTAACTATTTGCGAACAGTAATCTAATTTAGGTCTACTTCTACTCCTCTTAACTCCTGTTTTTATCTCTCATATGTCTCTGACTAGACCTTCATGCCTGATAACATGTCATACCAACCTATCTCGCCTATTTCTTATTGACTTCCATAGAGTCCTCTGTTCTCCTATTCCTTCTAATATGTCTTCATTTCTAACCTTCTCTATCCACGGTATCCTCATGCTTCGCCTGTAACACCACATTTCGAATGCTTCTAACCTTTTGTTTTTGTCTTGCCCTCTGTACAGCGCCGCAATCCAAACATACACCTTTGAAATCTTTTTCGAAGTTCTAAATTAACCGTCCGCAACCATGGAAGTGACTTTTTTTGTTAAAGGCGACTCGACTCTGCGCTATTCTATCTTTTATATTTCTGTTGCGTCTTCCATCCTAAGTTATATGATTTCCTAGATACCGAAAATAGACACTTGTTCTAATTTTTCGTCTTCTATCTTTCCTACTTTTCTACACATGTATAAGATGAAAAAAAAGCTTGCAAACTTAGAAAATTGTAGTAGATACCTACCCTTATACAATTAATAATTCGTGTTTTTTCAGCTTAAGTAAATGTTAATAGTTTTTTGTTTTAATTAACTAACACTTAATGTCATTTAATAATAAAAANCTTCAATGCATAGTTCGTTACAGGTAACTCCGGCATGTATAGTGTAAAATTTAAATTCATAGTGTACAAATAATAACATTAAACCAATTCCTTAACCCCTATCCCGGTATGTTTGTGCGTTTGAAGATGTTTCACTTCAGTAATGTGTTTTATAATTACACGTTGTATTTTTTTTTTTATAATTTAACGAAACTTACCTCAGAAACGTTGAGTATCACACAGAGTGCTTCAACGCTAGGCAAAAAATATGAGTCACACAGAATTGCAAGGAAGGTGAAACAATAAATTCCGACTAAAAATGCAACAATCACAGATGCAGGTTTTGTTTTAATAAAATCGGGAAAGTCGTCCAAACTATCTCTTGATACGTAAAAGGTTTCTACGATTCTATAGAGTAAGGAATGCTCTACTTCTGATTTATTTACGTTATTTTCAAGCGAAGAGACATTGGAAGGAGCAGCTGAAACATAATTAATGAACAATTAGTTCTAGTGGAAACACAAAACACAAATTTAAATCGTTTTCTGCACCTAACCTCTTAATTGATTTTATTTTTTATCATGAGTAAATATATTTAAAGTTCGGGACCAAAAACGTAAGTAGGAATCAGGCAAAACTTGTAGTCTAAGCACGTGACTTCAACGTCATCCGAATCCGAAAATAATCTTGAAGCTGATTCGATTTTTGATATTTCGAAAGACGTTATTTTATCATGATTTTTGTCTACTTCACCCCTAAACGTCACCCTTTTTTGTTCCAATTCACGTATGCTCGTTCTTTGGGACACGTATTAAGTTTACATTTTTGTAAATCTTTGAGCCCGGTCATCTCGATTATTTAATTAAAAAAAGTATAGTGCACTTTCAACCTCTGTCCACTTGCTTAACAAACCCCCCCCCCTCTCCCTATTATTCAAATATGTTGTAGTAAAATTTGTCCACATATCAGATGACATTGAAATCTCTTGCTCAGCCCGTCGACTATTAATTTATAATACAAAAAAGCGACAAAATACTATCTCTCTCTTTTTTACCCAAAACATGCAGTTTTAAAAATCTAAAATAACTCATACACAAATAATTTTGATAATATTATAGGAATTAAGGTATTTCCAGTTTCATAGCAACAAATAAGAACTTCTTATTTTGTGTCTAAATATTATTTATCGGTAATATATTGCAGTTTTCGAAAACTTTATTATTTGACTTCATCGTTAGTACAAAGTAAAATTTTATCGGTACTGATGCGCCGATATTTATAAGTTTTTAATGCAAAAAAGAAAAGAACAATTTTATTTTATTTTCAAGAATGGTTACATAAATACCTATAAGATGTCCATAGCAACTTCCAAGGAAAGCTACGAATAGGGTTACAGCGACTAACGAAACCTTCATATTTAACAATGATTATCCTCGTGTCAAATCTAATTACAGGTTGACTTCTACACGAGCGGCGATGAAATCCTGATTCCTACAAATTTCAGTTTTTTCAGCAGGACATTGTCAAGATGAACTG